ATTGCACAAAACAAAAGAAGTTTCAAAGTTGCTGTGATTGGATATTGATGGTAATTGAAGATTGGATATTGCTTTCTCACGATGACATTTGGAGGACGAACACCAAGTGAATTTTGTTTGTTGATATTTTTGGTTAAATGTATTTTGTTGTATTGGTTGTGTGTCAATGGGGTTACGCTTGCTAGCTATAATGTAAGTTTATATCCCCAGGGTGTGCATATTGCTTATGTAAATTCTGATTTAGTTTGCTATCAAGTTTAGAATGTTGAGAGGAACGAAATCTGCTAAATTATCCATGTTACATTCTCGAACTGGCAATTTGTAAAGCATTTGAATCAAAAATGTTTGTTGTCACCAGATCTCATCTTCTCAAGAAATTCTTTACAGTTCTAGGATCTGTCTAAAACACAATTACTTCCTTGGTTGATTATGCCCTCGATCATAAGAATAATAATGAAAAAAATCGCTCTGAGCAGTGTGATACTAGCAGAAAAGATTAAATCAGAGAATTATATTGACTTTGAAATCACAGAAATGTTCAAAACTCGCAGTTCCAAAAAAAAAATTTCCCCAGCTTCAGTCAGGATTAAGAAAGTCCAAAAAAGCACAAATAAGTTCATCTTCAAATTTCATACTAGTATTCACGATCTTCATTCGACAAGGACCTCAATCTCACTAAAGTTTAACGTTGATCCAGAAATCACAGAGTAGAAGAAGAAGAAGAAATCCGTATTGTCTAAGAAATAAAATAAAAATAAAAAAGAGAATACAAAGTGACGTCCTCCTGGGAGGTTCATCGGAGGAAGAGGTCTAGCAGCAAGGAGGAGGCAAGGGGCAGAATTGTTGGTGGAGTTGGGTTGGGATTGGCGAGAGTTATGTGGGAGGAGGGGGAGGGGGGAGGGGGGAAGACGCAACCCACTTCTTCCTTCTTCCTCTTGTGAACAGGGCTAGTGAAGATGGCGAGCACCGTAGCGGGAAGATGTTCGGCTCAATCCAGATCCATTCGCCTCCATGTGCGGCGATGAAGGGGGGAGAAGACAGAAGAGGGAGGTTTTTTCATTTTTGCGAGGTTGACAAGAAGGCAGTCGAAGGTGGAAAGGTGAAGCTGGAATGAGATGAGTGGATGCCAGATAGGATTAATTTAACATGAGTTGGTGCATTACAATTGGACAGAACATGTATTACGCGGTACACTGAGAGTATGTAAGAATTTCTCCCTAATTATTTCTTGCTTGAAAATCTTCCAAATATGAAAAACAAGTGAATCCTATCTGCTCCTCTTATCATATTTATAAGGTAGAAAGGGAATATTTTTTCCAGTGGTAGAGACAGAATATTTTTTCCAATGCTATTTATAAGTTACTTTATTAAATTTTTAACATGAATATACTATTTTATCCTTTATTTATTATAGTGTAAATTTTTTTTTAAAATAGTGTATGTGTCAAATAACGATAAAGTTAAAAAATAGTTATATTTTAATGGAGAGTTAATGCAGTTAAAATTTTTTTTTTATTTGTGTGAAACATGCAAGAAGTATCTTATAAATAGGACTAAATGAGTATATTTAATAAAAGTTATTTGTTCAAGGGATGTTCAAATTATTTAGCCATTGATTTTATGTTAAGAATATCGCCAAAGTATAAATAATTTCAACATGACATCTAAGTACCTCGCCAACATATAATTCTATTTTGCACTATTATCATAAACACATCACCATTATCAATATTCAATGTAGTAATAAATGTATCAGAGTTGCACTATTTACCAGAAAAAGAAATGAAAAGAAGATGATAGGATTAATGGTGAATATTGAAAATCATTGTCGTGGGCCATTCTATGTGCATATTTGTCTCCAAGAAGTTGACTAAGGAGTAATGACTAATTAACAGCCATACAACGTCGGTCCCAACTTTCAAATTTTCCACATTTGAATAGCTAGTGAAAAAGACCATTCACTGTTTGACAGGAGAAAATTTGTTAAGTGCTCTCACTTTCATTCATAATACAAGTCATTTTAACTAATTCTTAAAACCAAAAACTAATAGTTAATTCATTAAATTTGTTTCAAATTGAAATTTTTTTTAACTTTATCCATATTAAAAGACGTTGTGAAGGAGAAAAAAAATATAAAGAGTTACATTTAAACATTAATTGTAAGGACAACATGGACAAATAAACATATTCATTACTCTTCAGGTAACTTATATTTTAAACCAAACTATTCTTCTAAAAGTGACTTGTATTATGGATTGTAAGGAATATGCGTTTGGAAAATCCTTTTATTATTGTGTGTATTAAAAAGAGCAAAGTATTTAACTGTTATTCAAGTCTTTCACCATTGACTTTGTACTCTTACACCCGTCAAGAACGCAAAGATAAACATATAATCAAGTCTCTAGATGAAGGCCAAAAAGATATCAAGTCTCTAGAAAAAAGAAAATAGAATTGATAGGATAATCACAACAAAGTAAATTAATGAGGTCATTTCATAGGTGTTGTATGTAAGTTGATCATAGATTAACAAACAACCACATTATTCCCAACGTGTGGAATGGGATTCCAACTTTGCTATTATTTTTGACCCAACTTTTAAGTTTTCCACACAAGAATAGTTCATGAAAGAAACTATTCATTATTTGGAGAAAATAAATTTTTAATGTGTTTTGGAAAATTATGTTTTTGTGGTTGTAAACTAACTTTTCATAATTGAATCCTTATTGAGAGATACTTATGTTTTAATGTTTAATATCTGGTCGTACCTCAAATAAATTACTTTCAATAGAAAAATTTCACCTATAGTTAACAAAAAATCTTTCATAATTTTTCTGAGATAAAAAGTCTTTTTCTATTAAGTCATATTTTTGTGCATGTTAAAATCGGCAGAGTTACGATCAAGAGCCTTTTTCTGTCATAATTCAACTTTTTAATCTTTTTAAGTCTTTCGTCATTGACTTATTATCAGCTTTTGTTTCCGTCAACTATGGCAAATAGATATAGATGCAATCATAAAATTCATAAGACGTTCACATCCAAGCATCATGATTTTTCAAATTTTGAAAGAAAAAAACTTTAAAAATTCAAATTAATTTCTCCAAATTTCAAACGCTCAAAAACCTGAATGAATTCTGTTATGATTGGATAAATAATACATGGTCCCAACTATTTTCTTCTAGAAAGTTGCCGCTTGGGTTGTGGAGCTTCAAGGAATATTTAAAATTATTACGATCACATTTCTGATCTTTTATTATATTAATTCTCGACTCTAATATAATGCATACACAAGTTATAATATAAGAAATTTACGACTTAAGCTATTTAGAGTTATCACCTCAGCTCGCAAGACTTAATTCTTAAATGTATGATATGATAAAAGAAAATTAATTAAAACTCACTTCTGGTAGTTACAATGGAATTTTACAACTATTATTATTGCTCTTGCTAATCTTAAAATATTGGCAAGAAAAAAAAATCCTTGTTGGCTCATAATATATAGAATTTTTTTTTGTCACCGAATAATATAAATTTCTAAGATACTACTTCCATTTATATTGCTTGTAAACAAGGTTGATATTGATGGGGGAAATAGTCGAGTCGTAAGCTGACGGTGATGTGTTTTGAAGTTTTCTCATAGCCTTTTTTTTAATACAAATATATTTTTCAAAAGAAAAATCTTGTAGGAGGAGTAATTAAACTCGTGATCTTTTTTCCAAACTATCATCCTTCCTACCACCTAAGGAGCCTTATGTGGTTATCAAACTCAGGTATCTGAGAAGAAAGCATTGGATTGGTGTGCGTCAAAAGGAAATATTCCTTACTTCGAGACATCTGCTAAAGAGGACTACAATATAGATGCTGCTTTTCTGTGTAGTGCTAAGACTGCTCTAGCTAATGAGCAAGGGTAGGACATGCAAGTTTTGCTTTAAACTTGCGTGCACATATTCAAAATCATATTGAGATATTTATATAGCGTGTGTGTGTAAAATGTAGGATATTTGTCTCAATGTTCAGTAAGAATGATAGAAACCTTAAGAGACCTAATCATACTGGGAAATTAGCAGGACAATCTTACTAGGTAAACACTCAGTCGTAAATGATAGCAAGTGATCCTAGAAAACAGAGCATCAAGGAAATATACATGACAGCAAACAATGTTCCATTCTTAATTAGCAAAGGCGTGGGTATGCATGCTAATGCAAAAAATTCCTACTGAGTTATCTGATATACTTGGCCCTTTGACCCACATTTTTTTGGGTCCTGTAATGATTCTCCACCCTTCCCGTCTTTCTTGTTATTCAGTCAGTTAGATCATTTTGTTGATTGTGATGCATTTGTTTAATTGATTTGCCATAAGTTGTTTAAGCTTATGTATTCATGCTCCTTCATAACAAAGTTGTTTAAGCAAAATGTTGTAAATGACATTTTATTGACAGTGCCCTTCTAAAGGACTTTGGTATCATAAAATCTCCTATTCTATTTCTTGGGCAAACAAAGTTCTTTTTTCTTTTCTCTCTGTTTTTATTATTTGGGTTGAACTTGATTATTGATGGTTACAGGTTTTGGAAGATGGAGTATTGCTTCCTCAAAGACAATGCATTGAATCTAGTTTTTAACAAATGCTAATCAGTGATTAAGCTTTGTATGAAATCAAAACAAGCAAAGATTAAATAGAGTTTTATGCATGATATTATAGTTTGGTCTTTAAAGTGTAGACATTATATCTTTAATGGTACTTTTTTGAAGATAATTAATGAAATAGACAGATAATTACGTATTGCTTAGTTTTATCTGTAATGCATCTATTATGAGCACAACTCTTTCATCATAACAAATATATCATATGTATGACCTTCAAAGTTGAACCACACAATCCTTGTAAATGAGTTTATTCATCAATTACAACATCATTATTGAAAGCATAATATGATTAAAGAGAGATAAATCACTTATCTTCTACAAACACCAACCTTCCAATGCAAATCTGGCCTAGTTTGCTTTCACCAGCAGCAACGGTATTGCAGTTTATACCACATGCGATCAATGAATTGGAAATAAGCATACTTCCATGAACTACTATAGAGCAAAGGACCCACCACTGCCCAGAACCCCACAATAAATCCAAATGCCATGCTGACAAAGAACCAATTGATTCCTTTCACATGATGGACTTCTTCTTCTTTGTTGCTGGAGCTGTTTGATGAACAACTATTGAGTGGAGGACCACATAAATCATAATTGCCAACAAAACTTGATGCTTCAAAGCTTTGTATTTGGGTCCCTGTTGGAATTTTTCCCATCAAATTATTGTAAGACAAGTTCAGCATGCTCAGAAAGCTCAATTTCGACATGCTTGGCGGGATTTCACCTGTAAGATGGTTTCTTGAGAAGTCCATAGTCTCAAGTGATTTCATATTGCCAATATTTTGAGGAATTTGGCCAACAAAATGATTATTTGAAAGGTTCAAAAAATGAAGTCCCTTAAGTCTTGTAAGTTTTGTTGGTATCTCTCCAGATAATTCATTGTTTGACAAGTCGATACTAGTGATGAGACCAAGGTTGGAGCTGTAATCATAAACCCTTTCTTTCAACAATAATGGTTCAACTACCAATTGAAGAGCATATATTTTTGTGAGAGGAATGTATGACTCTAAACTATTATTTATTACCAACATGGCACTCAAATGGTTGACACATTTTGGAATATATCCTGTCAACTCGTTATGCGCGAGGTCCAAGATTTGTAAGACACTCATGTCGCAAATTTGATGAGGAATTGGACCAGAAAATTTGTTTGATCTCAGAACAAGAATCTTCAAATTTGATAAACTTTGTCCAACCCAAGATGGAATCATTCCTGAAAATTGATTCTCTCCCAGATCCAAGGAATCCAGGCTATTTCTGTTCTTCAAAAAACTCGGTAAATTTCCAGAAAAACTATTGTTGCGAAGGTTCAACATTTTCAATAGTGGCAAGGATGACATGGATGTCTGTAAAATTCCAGTGAAATGGTTGTTTCCTAAGTTCACTACCACAAGATATGGCCACCTCGCCCAGCAATCAGGTACTTTACCTGATAAATTATTTGATGCCAAATTAAGAAATCTTAACCCCATCTCCTCTTGTTTATGACACAAAAAGTGAGTAATGGATCCTGAAAACCAGTTGCTTGAGAGGTCTAAGAATGCCACATTTTGTGATACATACGGTAATTGGCCATGTAACTTATTTGAGCTTAGATCAACAACTCTAGAAGAACAGTTTATCAGTGTATTCGAAAGCTCTCCTTCAATATGATTGTGGGAGAGATTCAAATAGTAGAGATTTCCAGCTATGCCCCAAAACCAAGTTGGAATTGAATCACGAATCTTGTTGTCGGAGATGTCCAAATATTGAAGATGCTTTAGTGATTGAATCCATGATGGAAAGTGAGGACCAAAATTCCAAGAAGCCAAATTTAACTCCTCCAAAAGTTGGAAAGGAGGATCCAATTAGGGTCCACTTTTAAATTGAGTTGGTTTTTTCGTACCCATAATTCTTGCAGATGGGTAAAATTAACAAGGTGGGCTTCTTTGACAACTCCTTGGAAAAGATTATACCCCAAATAAAGGAAATTCAATTTACAGAGTGATCCAAGGATTTTGAAAGGATTTCCTTCAAGTTGATTTTTATACAAATCAAGAAACATTAAAGATGTTAGATTTCCAAATGATATAGGAATTGCACTTTTAAAAGTGTTGTTCCAAAGATCAAGACATATCAAAGATTTAATGTTTCCTAATGAGTCAGGAAGTGCACCTTGAATGGAGTTATAAGAAAGATCAAGTTGAACAAGATTCTTAAGAAGACCAATTTGGTCAGTGAGATGGCCAGATAATTGAGAATCACTCATATAAAAAATCTCTAGTGCATGAGAAACACATCTTTCTGAAAGAATTTTTAATATTTGAGAAATTTGTTGGTTGCACTTCATGCTTGAAATATCCAGTTTTTTCAAGTTGCAAAGATTTCCCATAGAAGTTGGAATCGATCCTTCTAAAAGATTTCCATTTAAATCAAGAGTAACAAGAGAAGTCAAGTTTCCAACATTCATAGAAATTGTGCCAACCAAGTGGTTTTGAGAGAGAATGAGGGACTTTAAATGACTAAAACTGTACAACCAATCAGGAAGAGAAGAGTTGAACTGATTGTCAGATAAATCAAGATGTTGAAGGAGAGTTAAGTTTTGAATACTAACTGGGATGGGACCTTGAAAACCATTACTGTTTAATTGAAGATGAACTAATCTTTTCAATTGAAATACCCAATTTGGAATCAATGAAGTGCCCAATTCAGAATCAGAAAGATGAAGGATGGCTAAAGATGAAAAGTTTAAGGTTGATGGTTCAAAATGATGGTTCAAATCACATCCTAACAAGTGCAACTCTCTCAGGGAAGGAAGTGAATCTAGATCCTGCAACCAGCCAAAGGTGTTGGATAGGTTTAAATAACTCAGCTCAAGATGCTGAAGAGAAGAAAGAGCTGAAACCCATTGAAGGTTTTCATCATATCCGAGATGAAGATTGATTAGATTTGAGAGGTTTCCAATTTGATGGGGGATGCTTCCGCCAAACTGATTATATCCAAGATCTAGATATTGCAAATTGGAGAGATTTCCAATTTGACGAGGAATGCTTCCATTAAATTCATTACCTCCAAGACCAAGATATTGTAAATTGGAGAGTTTTCCAATTTGATGAGGAATGCTTCCTTCCAAAACATTGCTGCTGAGATTGAGGCAGATTAGATTGGAGAGATTTCCAATTTGATGAGGAATGCTTCCTTCCAAATAATTGCCTCCAAGGTCAAGATAGATCAGATTGGAAAGATTCCAAAATTGAAGAGGAATGCTTCCACCAAACCCAGCATGAGATAGGTTAAGATACGTCAAGCTTTTCATTGAGCCAAGAAAACCAGGTATTTGCATGCCTCCAAAATAATTACTGCTCAAATCCAAATAATTCAAATGCTTCAAGTCAAGCAAGGAAGAATGTACCTCACCACCAAACATTAATGTCTCATACAAATCATCGCCGCCAAACTGTAAAGGAGGTGGAGTCGTGAGGTGGAGCTCAAGAACATGGCCTGTGATGTTGTGGCAAACAACTGAAACCCAGCTGCAGCAATTTGCATGGAGAGACCAAGAGGTTAGCCTGTTTGAAGGATCTGAGAGATGACTCTTCATCTTAAGTAAGGCATCTCGCTCACTTGGAAGGCACTGAACCTCATAAGATGTTCTGCAAATGCATAAATCAACATTTGATAAGGTAAGTAACCAAAGAAAAACAACCACGACGATATTGCAAGAACCATCCATGACTACGTCAACCAAAGAGGTTTTTGCTAACAATTTTTTTGTGCTTTGATGGACATGCAACTCTCGGAGAAGAGAGTAGCTAGTATTTATAATGTCACTTTCGATTTTTGTTTTAATACATCGAAAAACTTTTCTTTTTAACTTCATTTTTCATCATGTAAGGAGTTTATTTTAAGGATAACTTTTTTATGTGCTATAAAAGATTTTCAAATATCCTTTATTAAACCCTTTTATTTTAAAGAGTGCTAAAATAAAAAGAATTTAATACACATTTAAATAACTTGCTGAAATAATTCTTTTATTCTCTTTTTATTATATGAAGATATTAAAATCATCAATGACAATAAAGGTATTGAGGTAAACGTGCGTGTTCTAAGGTTCAAAGAAAACAAAACAAGAAGGTTCCACAGTTGTCCCCCTTTTTTTGGGACCGGTAAGTCTACTCTTGTGCTGGTCAACTACGGTATGTAATTTTTTTAATTTGCAAAAAAAAAAGTTTTAAAATAAAATTACTCAGAGGCTTAAAGAACATGAATTTTATTGCAGAAAGTTGCTGGTTATTTATATATAGTGCCATGACTATTTTCTTGCAGAAAGTTTTGCTTATTTTTTAAAAAAAATAATGCATAAATTAAGAAAATACGAAAAACTCTAAATAATTGTTTTTGAAGCCACATGATCGTTATTATGTATTAGCGGTTAGAATATTTTTTCCATGAATATTGGTGGTTAGAAAAATGGCCCATCATTTAATTGAGCGATATGAATGGGTCCTTTGTTATTTTCTAACCTGCCGCGTTGTTCAAGTTGGGTTCTACCTATAGAATACGTCTTGTAATGCAAAAATTTAGTAATGAATAAGAGAAATAAAGATAAAAATATAAGAAATTTTATTTATATAATTTTGCATGTATTGAAAAGGAAAATTAATTTCATCCATCGAGTCCACATAGTTATTTTTTTCTTGTAAACCTTCTATATGTAAGAGTAACAAATAAATCCTTCACACACACACACACAAGGTGTTTAATTTTTTCTTGTTACAAAGGATGATCAAATTATGTAGTCAATCCTTTTATTTTTACAAATGTCAGAATATAAACAATTTCAACATAACATTTTTTTCTAGGCACAAACATTTTCCTATCGAAAGCAATTATGTTCAAGGTATTGTCAGGTATTAAATATGAATACATCTCTTAACAGAAATTAGAATCTTAGTTTGCCATATCGTAAGAAACTAGCCCCTTCTGCTAAATCTAACTAATATTTAATTAAATCACCAAAAGAATTATTTTGTCAAAAGTGATGGAATTAATGTTGAAGATAGAAAATTATTGTGGGCCATTCTATCCATATTTGTTTGTATGGAGTTGATTAGAGACTAGTCAAGATAAAAGAAAATAAAATGACAGGATAATGATGAAAAAAAATTAATTAATGTGGTCATTCTATAGGTGTTTGCATATAAGTTGATTGTTATAGACTAATAGACAACCACATGATTAGTAGCAACGTGTGGAATGGGATTCCAACTTCTTGCTATTATTTTTGTCCCTAGCTATTATTAATTTAATAATTTTTCCATACAATAACAGTTCATGAAAGAGACTATTTTTCTTTGGAGAAAATAAATTGCTAATGTATGTGCTGTGGAAAATTATGTTTTGTAGTTATAAGTCTTTCATAATTGAATTCACATTGAGAGATATTCACATTTAGTATCTATCATGTTTCAAATAGGAATGTTTCTAGTAAGAAGATACTTATACGTATAAAGTGGGAAAATTTTCGTAATTGAGTTATTATGTTTGCGCGTGTTAAAATCGCAAATTATAGTCGAGATGATTCTTAAATCATAATTCAACTTTTTTTTTTATGTCTTTCATTATTGACTTAATGTTGTTGTCCGTCAACTACGACAAACATATAGATACAATCATCAAATTCATAAGATTACATCCAACCACCATAGTTTTTCAAATTTTGCTATAAAAAAAACTTTAAAGTTCTAAATTACTCAAAAGGATAAAAATGACTTGAATGAATTTTTTTATGATTGGATAAATAATATGTGCTCCCAACAATTTGTTTTCCCTAGAAAGTTGTGGCATAGATTGTGGAGCTACAAGGAATATTTAAATTAAAATTATTGCTGTCGGATTTCAGATATTTTATTATATATATATATTAAAATTTGTTCTGGAGAACCAAAAAAAGAACATTTTCTAATGATATAATTATCTCCCAATTGATAATGCACGCTCAAGTTATATAATATACTCCCTCTGGTCCATAATATAAGATCCAATTGATTAATTTAGAGAGATTAAGAAAGTTATTCAATTACTTAATTATAGCATATATTACACAATCTCTCTAAAATGTTTACATGTATTATTAGATTATATATATCAATTTATAAGAGTGAAAAAATAGTTTAGAAAAAAAGATAAAGATAAATACTTTAAGATAATTTTTTTTTAATCTCTTCAAATAAGTTAACTAAATTTTATATTAAAAAGTGGAAGATAATAAAAAAGTTATAACCCAAGCTGTTTCAAGTTAGAGTAATGGCCCATCATCTCATTAATTGATATGGATGGGACGTTCTCTATTATTTTCTAACTTGCCGTGTTATTAGGTTGGAGAGTGCCTATTGAATACGTCTTGTTTTGTAAAAAAGTAAGTAATCTAATTAATGAACAAGAGAAATTTTTTATCTTGAAAAGGAAATTTAATTTATTTTCATCCATCAAGTCCAAATATTTCTCGCTTGAAAATCTTCCAAGTATGAGTAACAAGCAAACCCTATCTATATTTAAGGAAACATGTGTTTGAGGGATGTTCAAATTATTTAATTAATACTTTATGTTCAGAATATCGCCAAAGTATAAATAATTTCAACATGACATCTAAGTACCTCGCCAACATATAATTCTATTTCCACTATTATCATAAGCACATTACAATTATCAATATTCAATGTAGTAATAAAATGTATCAGAATTGCACTATTTATAAGAAAAAGAAATGAAAAAGAAAGTGATAGGAAAATGGTGAATATTGAAAATTATTGTCGTGGTCCATCCTATATACATATTGTTTCCAAGAAGTTGACTACGGGCTAATTAACAACCATATGTGACTTTGGTCCCAACTTTCAAATTTTCTACATTTGAATAACTAATAAAAGAGACTATTCATTGTTTGGCCGGAGAAAAAGTTGTTCTAGTATTTTCTTCGGTCCATAATACAAGTCATTTTAACTAATTCGTTAAAATAAAAAAAAATAGTTAACTCATTAAATTTGTTTCAAATTGAATTTTTTTTTTCAACTTTACCTATGTTAAATGAGATTGTGTGAAGAAGAGAGGAAAATATATAAAAAGTTACATTTAAGCATTAATTGTAAGGATAAAATTAACAAATAAGCATATTAATTACTCTCCAAGTGATTTATATTTTTGGACCAAACAATTCTCTACAAGAGACTTATATTGTGGATTGGAGAAAGTATGCATGCGGAAAATTCTTTTATTATTGAGCGTATTAAAAAAGGCAATGTATTCACTTTTATTCAAGTCTTTCACCATCGACTTTATACTCCTATACCCCCCAAGAACGCAAAGATATACATATAATAAAGTCTCTCGAAAAAAGAAAATAGAAGTGATAGGATAAGACAACAAAGAAAATTAATGTGTTCATTTTATAGGTGTTTGGATGTAAGTTGATTATAGACTAATAAACAACCACATTATCAGTCTCAACGTGTGGAATGGGATTCCAACTTTTTTGCTACTATTTGTCCCGACTTTTAAATTTTCCACCCAAGGAATAATAGTTCATGAAAGAAACTATTCAATATTGTTTGGAGAAAATAAATAGTTAATATGTGTTCTGGAAAATTATGTTTTTGTGGTTATAATCTAGCTTTCCATAACCACATTCTTATTAAGAGATATGCTCGTGTTTAATATTTGGCCATACCCAAAACATAATTACTTCCAATAAAAAGATATATACCTGTGCATATAACATAAAAAAAGACAAATTGCAAGGTATGTCCCTTAAGGTTAAGGAGATGCCCTTTATCCCTAATACAGGAGCCAACTCACCTCGGGGACTGGGGTTACAGACTACTTCTCTAGTCTTGTTTATAAGGTAAAAAGAGAAGATTTTTCTTGGTCCTATTTATAAATTACTTCATTCAATCTTTTGTGTGGATTTACAATTTTATCATTCATTTATTAAAATATTGTTTTTTTTTAAAAAGTGTGTGTATTAAATAGGGGTCGAGTTAGAAAGTTGTTGTATTTTAATAGAAAATTAATACAGTTTAAAATCTTTCTTAATCTGCGTAAAATATACTCAAAATACCTTTAAAATTGCAAAGTTACTTCTTAAGTCACAGTAATTCAAACAATTTTGGTAAGTCTTTCATTGTTGATTTATTGCTCTTGTGCCCGTCAACTACGGCTAACTTATCATGAGGTTACTAAAAAGCTTTAAGAGTTCAAATTAGTCAAAATTAAAGGATAAAAAACTTGAATGAGTTTTGTTGTGGTTGGATAAATAAATAATGTATGCTTCCGGCCAATGTTATTAAACTTAAATCTAAAAAACACGTGACGGGAATGTAAACTTGTAAAAATTTACTATTAAGAATAAGTAACTATTAAACGTATATAATAAAATAATTAAAATGTAAAAATGACTACAATTTTATTTGGATATATTTCAAATTCAAATAATTGAAATTAAGTCCATAAATAATAAATATTTTTTACCATACTTAAGAAAAAAAAATTTATAAAGTTCTTATATAAAATCACTAATCATAATCAAATTTTAAAAAATAAATGAGTTTAAGAGTGAATTAATACGATTTTGTAAGTTAAAAACATAAAAACAATAAATTCCGTGAGTAAATTTGTGAGTTCAGCTAAATTTACAAGTAACATGAATTTAGAGCGAATCGATACGATTTGATAAGG